TTTGAAACTCCTCTCCTTACCAGATGATGGCATGGAGATGCACAATTTTGTTATTTGCTAACTGGAAGTAGTGGAAGAAGAAGCCGGTTCCATTTGGATTTTGTTCTTCATCAAAAGGCTTATGGTGTAAATAGTAGATTATAATCCACAGATGGGAAGAACATACATGTTCCAATCTGAAAGGCCTGTGAGTGAGTTCAAACCATCTTTCTGTGCAGCATGATTCTCAAGAAAGGTGACAGCATTAGTTGTTTAAGCAAATGCCCCGAAACAACAGTTGCCTATGTTCAAGTGACAAAGCCCTCTAGAATCTGTAGAATTCTGACTCCTGTCTGTCTGAGGATTATTCATCTTGTCAACCAATTCTATGCGCAGCACCAAACCAACAGTGAATGTTCCTACAGTATTTTGTGTTTCAAAGCCTGATATTCCTCTGTGCCATAGAGCTCCATTGTTGTCCCATAACTATTAAATCACAATGAGCCTCACTGTTGCACTAGGTGACATGTGTAGAAACTATACATAGTATAGTTTATTTTGACTCAATCCCACACCGTCCTGCTGCCCCAAATACTCACTAGAGCAGCAATCCGCCAGACTGAGACTATGTATTTATGAAGCGTTTATAATGACTGACATCTTGAGGAGGAACCAGTGTGTTTGGAGCTGAGAGCCACAGACAGAGTAGGTCTTTTAATATGTTTACAATAGGTCAAATGCAGAACAATGCTAGACTGGTCCTTTAGATACATCAACTCTTCTACCTGGAAATGGCTGCATAGAGTAGTTAACACGTAGTCACATGAGACATTTTCTCCTGATAGGGCAGGATATCTGGAAAATAGAAGACCAACTTTGTCTTACTGTCTCAATATTCATTGACTGTTATTGACACATTTCTTCCTGTTCATCAGCTTTCATTCAGAATCAGCTGCTGAGTTCTGGACACTCAGCATGTGATCATTATTATTGTGCACTGTGTGTGATATACACACAAACAGTCTCATGGCAGTTAGTGAAATAGTCACCAAACGCAACCAATCTATTGGTTCTGTGCACAGGGACACAAAATTTAGTTGCAAAACAAAAGTAATGTTTAGGCAACAGAACCTCTTAGTTGGGCTTCAAATAACTTCATATAGTTATGTTTAGACAACAATACAAACGTTAGGTTTATGCACAAAGAGAAACCTTTAGGAAAACTGTCGCAAACTTGATGATGAACCAGTTTAATGCACAACCACCAGGGACCCCAGTAAAGCCAACACACCCACAAGGAGACAGGGATCATTTCATTGTTCAACACTACAACTGGCATTCTATTGGTTGCGTCATTTTGCCAGAATTATTGCACAAAAGCATGAGAGAGCAGAGGAGAAACCCTAGAGCAGATCATTCCTGAGTGTGAGGGCAAGGACTGAAGCTGGAGCACAATCTGTGCAACAACAATATATCAGTGTGCACGCATACAGTCTGAGCAGAAGTAGAGCAAGGTGGGACGACAGGGTTCTGAGGGAAAGCCTTACAAGATCTCAATGTGAACTCAAGTAATTATGCTCTTTAATTGTAGGAACACTACATTTTGAATAAAGATAGAACAAAAGCTCCATAGTTTTGAAGACCTCTAGCAAACTATTGAATGATAACTGACACATATGATGGAAAATATATATATTAAAGGAATAAAGAGGAAAATGTACTTGTAGTGTTTGTAGACTCTAGAGTCTAGAGTCTCTAACTATTATGATCCCACCAAAACGCCTTTCTCGTTATATTTTGCTGCAAGCCTACATCGTACTGCATGCTAGATTTGACTTTGCTGTATTTTTTTCAAGAGGTAAAAAAGAAAGGCCTAGACGTACAGTATATCAGAAATGAGAATGTATTATGATCACATAATTGGTCTAGTCTTATTCTACCCAGATCTGGTCCTATCTTGATTATAAATCTGTTCATTTACACATTCACAGAGTCAACATGACAACATGTGTCTGTTTACCCAGCTTTGATTGGTCAGTAGTTGCTACTTTTATACCAGTTGATCTCTTATCTCCAACATAACCTGCTCTGGAGCAGTTTAGGTGTTCAGCATAAGTAACCATGGTGATTTATTCCAATAAGAAGTGAACCTCCACCGTGGAACTAAAAACCCAAAGTTAACCCTGAAGTAACCTTGATAACCCCAAATCCTGCTTCGTGGTACAAGACCCAGTTTTATTCTACCCAGATCTGGTCTCATTCTACCCTTACCTATCAAACCAATTACAGAATACTTTAAAATAATTGTATTACAAATACAAGTTGCAAAGACACTGCCCATCTGTGATTGGAAATCAAATATCAAATATGACGGCAGACGGTGGCCATTTTGAATTTCCTGGATTTAAGTATTTTCCCTTTTGGGATTATACATGAATACATTTTGTATGTCGAAGAGGATATATTTAGGGGTGTGATGCAAGTAAAATCGTTTCAGTTGCAGTGTGAGGTCAAGTTACATTAATGCTGGACTATTAATCAGATCCTCTATGAAGAGAATACCATACTCTTTACACAGCGTAATTCTTGGAAGATCTTGATTATTCTCTCTCTGGTGTTCTTGCCCATGTTATCTTTCCTAACGTGGATGCAGAGATTCAAGTGCCGGCTCTTACTCTCCAATATGAGGTCTTCATTTTCAAATGTAACTATAGACACTTGCCCTTTCCAACGTTTTTTCTTTGCTTGCTCTTCACCTGCTGTCTTTGATTTTTATTTACAGATAGTATAGCAATCAGCAGGTGTTCCTCTTTGATTGGTACTCTGTTAACAGCCATTTCCCTAGAGGTTTGCATCAGTTATAGTTATCAGTTGGTTGGTTTAGTTCTCCAACAAGGTCCATTTTTACAGATGCTTTCCAGAACATCAGATCTCCAAAGGGTTCAGCTTTCCGGCAATCGTGTTTTGCATACGGTCAACTCGTGTCCAAAGGGAAAAGTGCAAAGGTCTGCAGATCTTAGATATGACCTTGGCCGCGCCTTGCCATTCTGTTTCCATGATGTTATTGGCCCACATGCATGTGTATGTATTTATATTTTGTATAATACTAATATTGCGTTTTTATATGTCTAAGATTAGTTTATAACTAATCCATCCATATCATCTCTCCACTTGTTTAAACATGCTTTCTCTTCTTATTAGAAGTTAAATTGTACATATCCATAATAACACCTCTGTATACGCTCTTATTGTTTTGTGATACTTTTTTCATATTCGGTCAGTACACATTACCTTATCAAAGACTTGCATTGTAATTAGGATTACATCATTCAGTTTATTTGACAAGTTAAAAGACACACTCGTAGCCTGTTAGTAAGTTACAAAGGCTCATGGTCTGTGATTATGTCAGAGTCTCTGATGAGGTTAAAAAGATCATATTCATACATACTCGCTGATTTATTTCTTCTTAAAGTCAGCGCACCTCATTTACATGAACAGAGATAAAGTGATCAGATTAAAAAAAGAAATTCAATTCACTTATAAAGATATAACTCCTGTAGCTGTGAGAGAAAACACCACATGGGTGAGCGCTCCTTAATCAGTCTGCTACATCATGTCAGATCCTAAAGAGACATGTCTAAATTGAATAGGTATACGGTCACCAGGTGACCAGCTTCAGCATTAATGTAGCTGTCAAATGGCTTTTCCAATGACTGCTCCCACAGCTGCGTCTCAGTTTGATCAGACTGGGAGGCGACTGAAATAAGGACCAATGGTGCAACATGGTGCATTATGACAGGTGGTGTGTCTAATGTAATGTCTGCATTTCATACCAACAAGGTCAAGAGGCCTCCATCTACATCGGTAATGTAGCTGTCAGAAGGCTCCTCCAATTACTGCTCTCAATTGGCTGCAGCTTGTCAAGGTTCTTTAGCACTGATGCATCTACGATTCACCGTGCAGTGTGTGTGTGTCTGTGTGTGTGTGTGTCTGTGCGTGTGTGTCTGTGTGTGTGCGTGCGTGTCTGTGTGTCTGTGTGTGCGTGTCTGTGTGTGTCTGTGTGTGTGTATGTGCGTGCATGTCTGTGTGTGTATGTGTCTGTGTGTGTATGTGTCTGTGTCTGTGTGTGTGTGTGTGAGTGTGTGTGCGTGAGTGTGTGTGTGTGCCTGCACGCAGGCTTACCTGTTGGTAGGGGCTTCACAAATGGCTTGACACCTACTAATGAATGAAGTAATTAACTACTTCAGGAACAAATTGAAGAAGAAATGACATCTTATAAATCAGAATGACACATCCTTCAGTAGAGAAGCAGAAGCTGTCAGGCTGGTTGTGACAGATATGTGCTGCTGGTGGTGATGTTTATGGAAAACAGAGAATGATCACGTTGTGTATAAAAACAATGGTGAGGCTACATTTCTACATTGTGCATGTTCATGAGGCTGAGAAACAACAACGAATCACATCGTATGAAACCGAACAAATAACAAACTAGACTAATGATACCCGATAAGTTCATTCCTTAACGGATAAGTCTGGGGATTCTCTCTTGTCCTTGTAATTATTTCGTTTTCTGCTAAATTATTAAAGATGGGTAGATGAACACCGTCTACGACGACATGCTCCCAAACACTGACATACAACAACGGAGTTGATCTCTCCATGAATGTCGCTTTTTGGTTTTGTTTTTTACAAACGACGCGGAATAATGAAATGTCCTCCTCATCTCACTGTCTCATTGGCATGGTAATCTAGGTTACACGTTTGGATAAAACATCAACTCTCATATGACAGGGGGATTACATATCCATTAGAAAATATATGTATTCATTTCCGTTCCTGTAAGTCGGTTGTATTGTATTTCTGATAAAATCCACTTCATGCAGAGACACATAAGACAATAAAATGCATGGTAGGGTTATAAAAGACAAAATAAAGGAATATACGACTGATAACATAATACAGACCCCCCTCAGTATTCGGAATGTTGCAGTCCAAGGCGCGCTCAGCGATTTGGCGCTAGAGTGTCTCCGGTTTACTGTACGCTCTCTACCAGCTGCTCTGACATAGACTCTTTACTCTTTCAGGTTTTGCCTTAGTTTTCAATACGTAACCCTATGACGTTAATGGGCAATCATGTCTGAAGAGGGAAATAAGGTTTCCGACGAACTTTTCAAAGATGTCAAATTCTACGTGGTAGGGGACATTGACCAAAAGGTGAGGCTCTGGACGTTAGCTTCTTGTAGCTAAATTGGTAGCAGGCTAAGTTGCTAGCACCATTCAATCTAAATGAAGTGCTGCAGGAGAAGCTAACTACCTAGCTAACATGCTACATGGAAAACAGTGAGCTTCATCTTTGGCTAGCATTAAGGTATTGTGACGAACCCTACATAATGTCTTGCAAACATGTGAAGCTGTATCCATGATAGTCTACTTCACTGTGAGTAATATGTGCAGAAGCTAACTTACCTAGCACTAAGGTTACACTTTTCATGCAGTCCCTTAGCATTAGCTATGAGTTTTGTAGTTGCACAGATGGTAAGCTGCTAGCTTATTGCTTGCGGTTTAACGTTTTATGTCACGGGGTTTGCTAAATTGGTAATAAAGATGGCCTGTGTTAGCTTGCTTTTTCTAAATCATAACAGCTGAACAACCTCAGTACAGTAGTGCGCTGTTCTGGGGGAGCGAAATACCTATGTGCACAGGATTATGCACGGGGTTATTCTGCATCAACCTGTGACTATTAGCATCTTGCTCAATTGGGCGCCCCTTACTGCGCATGTGTCAATGCTGTTTCACTCGTTGGTGCTGGGGACCTGTGGCACGGAGCTGTACTTCCTGCCAAATAGTGAACCCCAGTCGCACCTCTTTCTCACCGTGTTTATATACAGCGAAAGTGATGTATGGGCTGATGTTAGTTAGATACACCACCCTGTGAGCTTATTGCTCAAGTGAAATAAAGACATGATATCATAACATTATAGTAGTTGTTCATAGAGACTTTTCACCTAAAACGTAAACTTATTGAACAGTCTGGCCAACATCTTATTTTGAATTCTTCGGGAACTATGGTTCAAATGTTGATAATTCATATCATTTTCCGGTTGTGTAATGTAAGCACAATTCTTTTTTTCTTCCTGTTTACATTTCGGTCCTAACACTGACTGTTTTAGATCGAAGATGGCACTGCATGTCTCTTCTTTCATGTCTTTTTGCTGAGGCCTCATGCATGGGTTTCGATGGATGCCTTGTTAAAATGAGACCCTTACAAACAAATTCAGGGTTTGAGAAAGCTTTAATGAAAGAATGTCAAAATGTGTGAAACTTGCAGCAGTGGGTCTGTGACCAAGTAGCTGTTAGATGAGGGACAAAGTGCAGATGTATCTGATAGGAGTATCAGGGTTTGAACAGGATCTTTGATAAATGGTTCGTTGAAATGCTGCAGTCTTTGAAATCTATTAAAGTTTGATAGAAAACATAGTCATTACTAACTAGAGATGCTGTCGGGATTCTGTGACAGTGAATGATTTCTTTGCTTCATGGTTATCAGTCCCAGCAGCATGTCGTAATGCTGTGGAGATGAAGACCACACGGAGCAACAGCTCTGTCTTTGTGTATGAAGCAGCACTTGAAAACATCCTGAATTTCTAGCTGTAATCTCATTTTGAATATAATAAGTATCATGCTCCAAAACTTGTCTAATGACTTAATTTTCAAATATTCGTATGAACTGAACTGTGTACAGTCGCTTCATCTCAGACAGCTCCTATGTTAGTGGTGTTGCATTGCTATCAGAGTAACTCCCAGAAGTGATTCAAGTATTTTTGAGAACTTCCGTGCTTACTCTCTCTACATTTTGAATGGTATGATCTTTGGCCAGAGTTGACACTGTGAAGAGTGTCTGCGTCATTGTCTCAGCTAGTCTGGGCTGAAGTAGAATTTGACTGAACCTTCGGCTGATGTTCCAGGTTGTGCAGCTGCTGAAGGCAGGAAAAGGGAAGGAGGTGTCCTACAATGCTTTGGCCACTCACATCATCGCAGAGGACGGGGACAACCCCGAGGTGGGCGAGTCAAGAGAGGTGTTTGACCTGCCTGTTGTCAAGGTAAGAGTTGTACCATTTCTTCCTTTTTGTTTTGGGCTAAAAGTGGTTCTGCAGCCGGTCAGCTTATCCCAGCATAAAGACTGTAAACAGAGGGATGACGGATGAGCATATTTTCCAACATGTCAACGTATTCCTTTAATGCATAACGATAGAGCATGTGGGAGACGATCACTTGGTTAGTTTCCTTATTGTTGGTGTTTAACCTCTGTCAAATAGTAGCAGTGAGTTAAAGCCACTTTGAACTAGTGTAACTAAGAGAAAGAAGTAGAAATCACACATTAACATGTTTTTCTCCTCATGTTTTCCAGCCGTCCTGGGTGATCCTCTCAGTCAGATGTGGGGACCTGTTACCGTATCCTTCCACCATCTAGTCCACAAACGCATCAGATGGGTGTCATTTAAAGACGTTTTGAGAAAACAATAACTGAATATGACAGCTGAATATTAATGTTTAGAATTCCATAAGTAAAACAAAACAAAAAAAATGTTCTTAGGGAATCATTGACAAAAAAAGATTATAGAATTTGTGGAATTAATTAAAATTTCACAATAAGAGCGTGATGTTTTTCCATAACCATGTACTCCACAGAGTTACAGGATTCTCCCCAGAATCAGGACAGATATTCTTTGGTGTGACAGCTTGTCTTCCCAAGGTAAGTGTGTAAGTGTGTGTGTGTGTGTGTGTGTGTGTGTGTGTGTGTGTGTGTGTGATTTGTTCTCTCCATGAACTTATCATGGGATTTGAGAGATATGCAGATGGAGGGATTAGTTTAATTATTCTGCAATCAAGACGAGGCTTGTTTCTAAACAGAAGAAGAACACTCATGTTGCTTTACTCCTCTACTTAACTTTGGGAAGTATGTCCTTGGGCTGGGCTGGTATTGTTTACTTGTGAAAGACAAAAACTAGTCCAGCATCTTCAGCTAATTATTGTGTGTGTGTGTGTGTGTGTGTGTGTGTGTGTGTGTGTGTGTGTGTTTGTACACAGCTTCCAGACGATCTCAACACTTTGTGGGCTTACATAACATTTTATGGAGGAGAATGTCAACTTAACCTCAACAAGAAGGTCACTCACTTAGTAGTGAAGGAACCAAAGGGGGTAAGTGCATGCTCCGTGTGTGATCTTTACCATTTAAGTTCAACTGCGCATGTTATTGCTCAGAATCTTTATCATTATGTGCACTTCTAATTCAACTTTTATTAATTTTTTTACCTCCAGGCCAAGTTTGAGTGTGCCCTGAAGCACCTGGGCATCAGGATTGTCACCCCGGACTGGATAACAGATTGTGTTAAAGGTAATGTTAGTGCTGCTGTAGCTGAAGAATTCATGCATTCATTTTACTTTTGGATTATTATCTGATGTGCTGACTGAGTTTTGAGGATGTGTTTCTATAGTTGGGCTAAAAGTAACGACCAATCTGCAGATTATTGTCTCCATTAATTGATGTATTGTGTGGTTATAAATTAGAGAATAGTGAAAAATGCCTGTTGTAATCTCCATGTGTTCAGATAGCTTGTTTTATTGGACCAAAAGAGAAAAAAAGGAATCTTCTGAATCAGAAGAAGCTGCAACCAGAGAATATTTGGCACTTTTGCTTGAAAGATATTGAAAAAGATTAATCAGTTATTGAAATTGTTGCATAAACATTTCTTGCAGATTTATTGGCTTATCATTATAGCTCTTAATCCACTAATAAATTCATAAATCATCAATATATATAATATATATTATGTTCTTTTAATAATCCGTAATCTGTTTTATTTTCTTCACGTTAAAATATCACAATTCCACAACGCGGCTGTAATTACTGACCAAATATATACTGACGAAATCAGATTTACCATCTCTTCTGAGTCCGTCCAAGCAGCTATTTGACAAAAACATAATTGACAAAAAAAGCATGTTGAAGTATTATTTTTCTGTTGAATGGACAGTCTTCCGACAGTGAGAGTGACATTCTCTTAACAAACACCACTTCAGCACAACTCGGCTCTTTCTACAGTTACTGTGGTGTCTTCCTGATGTCAGCAGCTTTTCTCTCATCAACTTCTCATAGAACTGAATTTATTTTCATTTTGTGGGTTGTCGTTTTGAAAGACTCGTCATCGTCCTAGCTGCAGTACCACTCTCTGCCTGAACTGTTATTGGTGGTGGGGCGCTGTTTTTTTCAAAAAAGCCTGATGAAACACTGTTTAATGTGATATGTGGTTAACTATCGAAGAAATCACATAAACCATAGAACCATGGTGGCCGACGCGAATGGCGCTCTCTATGATCAGATACAAACAACTGTGACTTATTCCCTCTTTCCACCTTTTACAGACAAAAGCAGGAAAGATGAAGTGCTCTATCACCCCAGACTCACGTATGTGGAGCCTGAAGAAGAGGAGGAGAGCGAAGCAGAGTCATATGACCAGCACTCTCATTCAGATGGAAGCTACAGCCCCCGGCGATCCCGGCTGTCCAGCGGCGGCTCCTCTGGTGAGGAGTCCAGCCCCCGCAGAAGGCCAGGACCCAAAAAACTGAACTCTGTCTCCCCTTCCTCTCCCCGCAAGCCTGAGCGCCGCAGCGAGCGCATGTTCGACGATTCAGACGACGACTCCTCCACAGAGAAGGAGGGCACCAACCTCAATTGGACGCCGGCTGAAGTCGTCACGCCGACACCCCCTATTCCGACCGGCACAGCCAAACGGCGAGGTGGGCCGCCCGGCAGCAAAGACCCGGTTTCATCCGCAGGCAGTGGGCTGATTAACCTGTGTGCCACTGTGCCTCCTGTTCCTGGCAGTGGAGGAGCCATGCCTGCAGAGGGTCGCTCTGCTGCTGCTGCTGCCATCAGTCACACAACACAGCAAGGTCAGTATGTCAGGAACGTTCAGAAACGGGTCCTCCTAGATACACTTCTATACCACCATGAGGCCTAAGGTAAAGTGTGGGAGCTACCACCTGACAGGTCCAAGTCTCGGTCTCAGTCTGAGTCCATACCTGCAAACCTGTCGCTTTTCATTGAAATATTTTGAATCAAAATATATCATCCACGTTTTTTTTAGGGGGGGAGGGGCAGGCAAGGCAACTGGCCAGCCAGCGTTTCTCAGATTGGAGTGAGATGAGGAGAAAATGTGATGTTGTGATCTTCACAATAAAAAATCTTTGATGTGACGTGTCGAGTCTTGGCCAATCAGCGTTAAGATGTCTACACCTACAACTAACGTTAGTGGATTGTGTATTGGCGTTAAAGTTTAAGTTACGTCATGTTCCGTTACTGTTCAGACTTGCTGGGTTAAGTTAACGTCCACTGCATGCAAAACTTTGTCGTCTGTTAACGTTTGTCATTATCGCGATTTAGGAGGAAAAAATGTAACGTGATGCAACATGCAACCCGAACAACGAACAAAGGTTATGTCCACTTACATTACGATGCGTTCAGGCTCTGTTCAGTGAAAATGACTATTGGGCGAAGGTAAATGATACCGTTATCATGATGTGTTCGCATGTAATCTCGTTTTCAATATCATTCATATTGGGAAATGAAAATCTATGACCTTATAACTTTCTACCAAAGCAGAGGTCTAATCAGTCTGAAGAACTGAAAACTCCAGTGTGGGTGTTCAGAGGCTTTAATGAATATCGACAACAAATAAATAAATTGAGCGCTTCTTAATCAGACCTGAGACTGCGAGACTGCGGTCAACTCAGCAGATACTTACATGTTAGTGCACCTATATGCTGACGTTCACGGTAAACTCATTCAAACGGCACAGATCGGGAGCGAGCGAAGGACTTTGCAAAGTTAGCGGAAAGATTAACGTGAGACAACATCCGGTTTCTTCAGACGAACATCCGGTTTTCAGAATAAGATGCCAACAAAGTATGAATTATATTCACATAAAGTATAAAGCATGCTGCCTGCATCTCATGAGTTAAAGGGAAAATACATCTAAATTGTGCGTAAAGTGTCTCTATTCTTTGATTTGAGGGTTGCTAATGAATAATACCTGACTGACAGTCAATTAAGGTATTTTACTAAGCAACAACTCTGAACTGAATTTGTACCTTCAAATGGCACATTTTTTAAATTTTTGAGGTGCTATAAAAATGTTTTTCTCAAAAATTCCACACAATGACTGATGCAGATGTTCAGGACAAAAATGGGTAATATCACAATATTTGAGGTGCTACAAAAATATTTTTCTCAATAATTCCATACAATGACTGATGTATATGTAATCAAGGCATCGTTGACTTAATAATTGTTAATAGTTGTTTAAAAAATGTAATAATAACAATAAACAACAACAAAGAAATTTTGTTCAAAAAGTCTAAGAAAACACTTTGAATCTGTAGACTACTGCCTAATAGTCTTATTATTGCCATTTGATGACAATTGCTCATATACTGTAAGCCTAATTAAGTATTTATTATTTTGAACAAAGGTTAAATGTTATTTTACAAGTTTCAAAAAGTGCACCCAATTTCTTTTTAAATGCCCCTGGATTTCAGTCAGTGGGGGCAAAAATTGCCCCCTAAAAATATGTAAATTTCCTACACTGGCTTCACCCCCTGAGCCCCCGTCCTGACACAGATGAGACTGGTTGTACTGGAAGATGGCAGCTGGCAAGAAAGGCCTCCTGTGGCGGTCCTTGTCAAGGCAGAGCTGGATAGGTCTCTTAATGAAAGTCCTCCGCTGTTTCACGAGGTGGTTAAAAGGATGTGATGTATTTTCCACGATGCACAACAGTTTGTGCAGCATCCTCTTCTCCACCAGAACAGAGCTGGTCCTTCTGGTCCTCAGCTCTGATGCCACTGCTCAAGCACATTGCAGCAAAAAAAGATTCTACTTACAAAAAGTGATCTGCAACATGTTGTTGCAGACATTAAAGGACCTGAGTTTCCTCGGGAAGTCGAGTCTGTTCCGTCCTTTTATATTACCAGCCTCAGTCTGTTGTCAAGGTAAACTCCTAGGTACTTGTACTTGTCCACTTCCACCTCCTCACCCACCCAGAAAGTTAAGTGGATCAACAGCAGTCCTTGTTCTCCTGAACTTTGTTCCATTTTTCTAACACAGTATCCTGTTAATGAAGGTTTCACCTTTTTCTGATTTGCAGGTGCATCCACTCCAGAGGGCATCCCTGGGTGGAGCCCGGCTGCTAGAACCCTCCGCAACATCACCAACAACTCTGACATGCCGCCAACCAATCGACCTGCCAATGTAGCACATGTAAGAAACCCAATGCTTCTCCCCACACGTTTAGAACAGCAGTGCTCTGTAGGGATTACAGTACTAGTGCTCTTATCTTATCCATACTCTTATCGGTTCCTTTGGATTATTTTGTGAGGACAAAAAAGAATCAACATTGCTTTATTATTCATATGTAAATAAATTGTTTTTCTTCAACAGCAACTGCAGAAATCTTTAAATAACTCACTATTGTTATTGTCATAAACTATTATTCAAAATAATTTATATGTTATTTTGAAGCTGCTATTCTGTTTTGTAATAAGTTAGTGTTATAAGTTATAACTAGTGCTGGGCAACGATTACAATGTTTAATCGCGATTAATCGCATTGTAATGCGCAAAGTTCAATAATGAATTCAAAAGTAGTGTATTGCGCACTTATATTTTAAAGTACTGCTATATGAACAACAGGGCAATAACATTTGGTTTAAACACTTTAAACACATCAGGTTGTTGTTAGCAGCAGTATTCCCTTCACACAGCAGCAGTTCTATCTCTTCACTATCTGTGCTCAGTGTGTGACTGTATGTGAAACGTTCCACTGCTGTGCAACAGGAACACAATGTGTGTCTTGTGTCTTCATGACAGTCAGAGCATGTGAATGCAGCTCTACTGTTCATCAATATAATGCTGTAACTCCGAGGTGATGATGGTGACCCAGCGATGTCCAGTAGTCTCCAGTGAGAGCAGCAGCTGCTGCACGTTGTAACGCCGTCACTTTAGTTGTCCTCTCCTTTCATACAACCCGTGTGTACTTCTGGTGACGGTGTGTCTTGAGGCTCATACGTGACGTCATTCGTTGAGATCCTAAAGGTGCGTTCACACCAAACGCAACGTGAACGCACCTTGAGAACGTTCCTCAGACCGACATCTTCCACAACACTAACTTGCAATTTGTCTCCACTTCTCTGTAGCATCTGTTAGCTTGTCTTGCTTTAGTTTATCTCTACTTCTCCCACACGCTGCATCAACGTAGTCTGAAGACTTCCTCCACTGTTTGTTTGGGTGATTTGCTGCATCAACGGTGTGTATTGCATTTTAAAAAAAACTGCGTTAATGCGCGATAAAATAATTGTCGCCGTTAACGCGACAATAGCGTGTTAATTTGCCCAGCACTCGTTATAACACTAACTTATTACAACACAGCTGCTCCCCTTAATAATAACTATGTATGTATGTATGTATTTATGTATTAAACAACTCCATATACACTGACTTATTAGTTGTTACCTAAATCCCATTGACTCCACTGTTGAGAAGGGGTGCAGGCCTTTAACAATAAACTAGGTAACAGTCCTATGACACTCATTCACCCTCTAATGTGTCATCTTCCCTGGAGCTGCTAGCGTGAAGGGACTTGGGCTGGGACCGGTGGTGGTGGGGTGGCTGGGTAATGGCTGCCGCCTCAGCCCGACTATCTACAAGAAGTTCCGAAATCCTTAAAATCAAGGCTGTATTGAGCCGGAATCGGTGTGTGTGTGTGTGTGTGTGTGTGTGTGTGTGTGTGTGTGTGTGTG